TACAGTGTATGGCTTTGCATTCTGTTACCTTTGCATTTACATCACAATTCTTGCTGGTGCTATTAATAGTAATTTCAGAGTACTTGCAGAGATGAGAAGAGGTCATTGCCATTTGTGTGATTAGGTTTGTTTCCTAAGACATTTGTTGACCAGTGTCAAGAAAAAACTGCTCCATTTAAATGATCGAGGACTGTGATTCTGCCTGCAATGAAAATGAGCAGAACCCTGTTTCTAAATTCAAGTTATAGTTCAAAACTGTTATGTACACAATTCCTCAAATTAGGTAGATATCAAAGTAGGAAGGGAACAGCCAATTATTTTTCAACAAATGTCATGGACAGATCATTGTAATATTGTAGTTACTTCTTTTCTTTTTCATCATCAGAATGTTTACTCAGCTTCACCATTGTTTTAATACCTAAGAGCATAGTTCTTACTATGTTAAGAACATAGTTCTTACAGGACCTTCTGTTCCAACCAAGCACAAAAAGACAACTTTATCCTTTTTACATGGAAATTATCTAAGAACAACTGACAGGCAGCTGTAGAAACAGCTATAAAAAGGAAATGTATGAGGGAACTGTGATCCACAATATTAAAAGGCTTTTCTTAGTGAAGGAAGCTCACTTTTTGCACTTCAAGAAATTTAATTCAACATGAAAGATACTTTGTTTTCAACTCTATTGCTTATTACACATTTTGGGGATTAAATATTTTACTATTTGTTTACAGAGGGAAAAAAACAAAATCTAGGATGGAATTCTGGCTCACTGGCAAAATTCCTGCTGACTTTATTAATGCTAAGATTTTACTGCTAACTCTCAGCAAACACATGCTGTGTGAGTGCAGAGAGCACCCCAGAGTTGCCTCATGAAGTGGTTTCAGGTGTTGAAACTCCCCATGTAGAAACAGTGTCCTGTTCCTTGTGTTCAGACCTCTTGGCAATTTTCAAGTGAGATGTAGTTTGGAAGTGTTGTTTTGCAGGCAACAGCACAGAGTTCACAGTCAGAGAGCTTTCTAGGAAAATAATCTTTGGCTCAAGAAAGAAAAATAAATTGGCCAAAGGATGTTCAAGTTGTCGGTGGAAGTGTGGTGACAGGCTTTAACTCTATTGTGGCTCAGTTAGACCCAGCTGGGAAGTGGGAAGGTTTCCATGCTGGACCAAAGCAGTGATCTGGAGTTTGGGGGGCATCTTTATACTGGATAGAAGGTGACTTTTTCCTCATCTGCTTGCAACCTAGTAAATGAAGTTTAGCTGTCCCCAGGGAGTGGATGATCATAGTTTGGCACTGGGAGTTTGCATGATCAGCACTTTAAGATGAGTCACCTTCTTAGATCTTAGAACCCACTGAATATGGAAATCTTTCTCCTGTTTCTCTTTTACAATTTTGTGTTCATGACAGGGAGCTTTATCGGATGTGTTTAATAGGAACACTGGATTGCCCATATTTCAGTTTGTAATTTTGTTTATCACTCTGTTTCTTTTAAATTCTTTGCTAAATATCTTGAGCTTTTTAATTTCTGTCCTTGTAGAGAAACTGTCCCTCTCACTTTCAAATTACTTCAGTTTCTCTTTTTAGGATATATTTGCATTTCTTGATATGCAATTTATCTATGTACATGTAATGAAACCACATGGCTTCAAAATCTAAATGTCTTTGCTCTGTTCTTTTACATGACCAAAACAAGGGATTGAGCTGTGATAAAAATTAGTACAACTGTAGACTCAGGATCAGAATTTTTTTTTTGAAAGGTTGAACTAATGTCACAGTCTCTTATAATATTTTGGGGTCATTATGAGATAATATTTTTCACCTTCAGCCTATATTAGTTGTTTGCCTTTTTATAGGCGTCACAGAATGGTTTGGGTTGAACAGGATCTTAAAGACCATCCAGTTCCAACCCTCCTGCCATGGGCAGGGACACTTTCCACTAGACCAGTTTGCTCACAGCTCCATCCAGCTTGGCCATGAACATTTCCAGGGATGGGGCATACACAACTTCTCTGAGCAACCTGTTTCACTGCCTCACCACCCTCACATTAAAGAATTTCTTCCTAATATCTAATCTAAACCTATCTTCCTTCAGCTTTAGGCCCTCTTGTCCTGTCTCTTGATTCCAGTGCAAAAAGTCTCTTTCCAGCTATTCTGTAGGCTCACTTCAGGTGTTGAAAGTCTCTATAAGGTCTCCTTTTGTATTCTGCTCTTCTGGTGATTATCTAGAGCTAGTCCTAGAAGGACTGAGACCACCTTTTCATCTGAAAAAATGAAGCAAAAAGAAAAAAAAAAAGGAGATAAGGCAATCAACTTCTCCCATGAAATACAAGTGGTTTACATAGCAGTAGGGGACTCTATAAGGCTTTTCACCAGTCTGCTAATGAAAGAATGGAGGAAATTTAAAGAAGCTGCATATCCTCCCCTCCCGCTTACTCCTTAGTCATAAGTTCTTCTTCTCTTTGTTCCTATTTTTTTTTTATGTTTGCCAAAAATTTGATCTGTTCAGAGAGGGATTAAGAGTGAACAGATAATGGAAAGCAGAGTGTAGTATACTTGACAAACTCAAAACGTTTTAACTGAGTTGGAAACAACACCTCAAAACTTTACCAATCCAGTGCTGCAGATGATTCTTGATAACCAGAAATGAAGCTGAAGAGTAAGATAAATGAACTAGAAGTGCCCTTGCTGTCCAAGGCAGGGACTGTGCCTTGTTTAGAGAGTGTTAATAGTGTAAACCTAGTCCATTCTTCACATTTCTTTCAAACACCTAACATGCTATTTTGTGAGGCGGTTCAGTACACAAAAATGTGCTGGGTGGAAGTCAGGATGTTGGCGCTCTTTGTGCGAATACCATGCACGTTTGGATCACTGTGGGAGTGCAGACAGGGCACTTGGGAGCAAGCACGCAAACCTCATGTTCAGCCTCCTGGCAGGAGCGCCCGTGCCAGAAGTGTGATTAATCCCAGCACAGGAGGGTGTTTATGGGGTGTCACAGTCCTGGCAGAGTAGCCCCTTATGGATGCACACCAGGCAGCTGTGTTTGGACCCATGCGCTGGATCCGCGAGCTCCTCTGCTCCCCTGGGCCCGGGCAGGCTCCAAACGCCGGCTGTGGCCCCAGCCTCTCAGACACACTCCCCAGCCACTCTTTTATTTTGTACCTTCTCTTTAAGCCCTCTTTTTGGGACCACTGCTGTACCACAGGGATTATAAAGGGGTTTTTATATACTGGCCACATGCAGCTAGTAAACTTAATGGCAGAGATACAAAGCAGAAGAAATGTTTATGCACACACAGTTTTCTTCGCCTTGGGCCCTAGAGAATATCCTGGCTTTTGGATTTTTTATCTCTAGCTCCTCCAAGGATTTTTCAGAGCTGAAGAGTATTCCTTTGTAGCGTGCTTATTCTTAAGTCTTCTGTCTTTTGTCCTTGTACTAGCAATTTACTTTGACTTTGTCCTGGAAAATTTTATGAATGGGTGTAAAATTAATCTTCTCTTCTTTAAGCACCACCCATTTTACCATCCCTAAGGTGATTCTACTTGAATGGAAAATTTTTTAGGTTAGGGACTCTTACTAGTCTCTATTGCGCTTCTTCGCCTTTAATCAAGGAGGTACCTTATCCACTCCAGATTTGCAAAAGCTTGGTTCAATGGTCTAGCAATTTCATAACATGTTAAATTCTGTCCTTCTTACTAAGAGAAATTTCACAAAGTACTAGAGTCAGGTCATGAATTATTGTCTTAGTTAGTGATCAGTCTTTTCACTCTTCAGGTTTGTGAAATTAAAGCTGAATTCAATGTTAGAAATCATTATGAGCTCATAGTACAGAAAATATTTGTGATGTGGGCCACTTTATCCTTTGATAAGTTAATTTCTGACTTTGCCTCTTATTTCATGCCACAGAGAGCATAATATATTTCATAGCCACTCAAGATATGTGAGTTTGTGTTTGTGTTTAAAAAGCACTGATGGTCTGCATAAACAATTTTACCACATTCTGTTCTACCTTTCTACTTGAAATTCACTACAACTATTCTGCACCTAAACACTCCAAGAAGGGTATTTCAAATATACATGTAATTCCAGAATCTACAGCCTACTTGGGTATCCCTTAAACACTAAGATATACTAGGATTTGTGTGCACTTGTAATGTGTCAGTGAGATATTCTTTATCAGGAGTTCCAGTGGTGCAGTAGGTTTTGTTGCCAACATCTCCATTATTTCTGAGACAAACCTCTTTTGCTGTGGAGAAAACAGCAGAGTTACAAATCAAGCATGTAATTGAGCAGGCAAAGCATATAAAGGAGGCAGTGTGTAAGTTCACTTGTCATGTACCAAACATTGGAGGGCTTAAGAAGTCAAATTGTCTGTTCTTACAGAGCTGTTATCATTTTTATATCAGGCAGTGAACAATGCCAGCTCCTGTGCAGAATAAAGAAGTGACATCCATACTGTACCTGGAAATGATCCATAGTCTTTGCCTTTGTGGAATCCCTTTCTTGACCTTGTGACCTCAAATATGAAGAGCTGCCAAACAAATTGTCTCTGTCTATAGATACTCCTGAGGTCCTATTTCAAATGTGTTGGGGTTTTGTGGGGTATGTAATACCTATGCTGAAATGTTCTTCCCTGTGTTCCTCTCCTTCACTTTCTGAGTCCCAGCCAACATTTCACTCCTATTCACGCATGGATCTCATCAACACAGAAAGGAAAATAGTATGAAAATGCCTGTTTGGTGAAAGACTTTTCCAAAAAAAAGGGAGAAATCAGAATACTTGGCTTCCTCTAATGATACGGGCGGGAATTCTGTCCATCAATAGGGCAAATCCCGCTGGATTCTGTACAAGCTGCTCCACAGTTCTCTTCTTAGTTTCAGATCTGATGTATCACAATAGTGCATTTGTGAGCTAAGGTACTTGCTTTTTTATTCTAGCACTATAAAAGTATAATCATATAATCTGCTCTTTTTCTGTTCTACTGCTAAGGATACTTTATTTTGTCAGGTTTGGGATGAAACTCTTGCCAAATCTGCTGAGGCCTGGGCTGCTACATGCATTTGGGACCATGGTCCTTCCTATCTTCTGAGATTTTTGGGCCAGAACCTGTCTGTAAGAACTGGAAGGTAAGACGACACCCTACAAAACAATTATCTTGTCAGACTTTGAACAACCTTTGAGGTCCAGATCTTTGATGGATGCAATTGTCATCCAGTATTCTATATCTATTATCTATAGAATAGATCTATATCTGTCAGTTTTTGTTTGGCTCAAGAATATTATTGCTTACAACTGTGACCCTGGTGATATGAGGAGAAATCTAAAAGGACTTTTTTCTTTCATTTCTTTCCAGGTATCGATCTATTCTCCAGCTGGTAAAGCCATGGTATGATGAGGTGAAGGATTATGCTTTCCCTTATCCTCAAGATTGCAACCCTAGGTGCCCGATGCGATGTTATGGACCCATGTGCACCCATTACACACAGGTTATATAAATTTCCTCTATTCAAAATCTCATGTCCGAAGCTGAACTTGCCTATGACATATATATACCCCTCTCTCTCAAAGAAATGTATGTGTATATCTATAAATATATGTATATTCCTTTTCAATTTTGACTTCACCAATAATAAATATTTATTCAGATGGTTTGGGCCACTTCCAATCGTATAGGCTGCGCAATCCACACATGCCACAATATGAACGTCTGGGGATCTGTTTGGCGGCGAGCTGTTTACTTGGTATGCAACTATGCCCCAAAGTGAGTTGCTCTCTTTTATTTTTTGTTTATTTTTATACTTTGTGCATGTTTTGGTCCTCTCATAGGACTGCTTACTCCTTTTTCTGCAGCATGACCTCTCTTTGTGCTTTTTCTGTGGGCTGCTCCTTTGTTCAAGCTTTCCATCTGAACATACAGAAATGTATGACTTTGGTATTCAAGGAAGAAAAGGAATTAACTTGATGTGTGTGGAGCAAAACAAAAACCTGTTTCTCTGTTATTATTATTAGTAGTAGTATTAGTAGTAGTATTAGTATTAATTTTCTTTCTTCTTTGTGCTGACTTCACTTTACTTTGAATTCCTTATTTCCTCACTTTTTATAGACAGGCATGGGGGACTAGACTTCCTCAGGTAAGCAATCCCACTGTAGATCAGGCTCTTGGTTTACAGACAGGTGGGCCTGTGCAAATCTTGTGACATTCAGTAAGGCCAAACACAACTGGGTTGGGTTAATCCAAGCACAGGTGCAGGCTGGGTAGAGAACGAATTGATAACAGCTCTGAGGAGAAGGACTTGTGGTTCCTTGTAGATGAAAAGCTCAATATGATTTATCAGGGCATGCTTGCAGCCCAGAAAGCCAGCTGTATCCTGGGTATCAAAAGAGATATGCCCAGAAGGTGATTCTCCTCCTCTCCTCGGCTCTCTGTTGGGAGACCTGCATCCAGTTCTGAGGTCCTTAGCACAAGAAAGACACGTTAAAAAACTCAGAAAACCTATTAGATCAGGTCCAGAGGAGAGCCACCAAGTTGACCTGACTTATGAAGGCAGGCTGAGAGAATTTGGGCTGTTTGGCCTGGAAAGCAGAAGGCTCCAGAGAAACCTTGTATCAACCTACCAGTACCTAAAGGGGTCGTACAAGAAAGCTGGAGAGGGAATTTTCACAAGGACATGTAGTGATAGGACAAGAGGGAATGGCCTTAGCTTAAGATGGGTAGGTTTAGATTAGACATTAGAAAGAAATCCTTTACTGTGAGGGTGGTGAGGATGGTGAGGCACTGGAACAGTTTACCCATAGAAGTTGTGGACTCCCCATCGCTGGAGGTATTCAAGACCAGACAAGATGGGGTTCTGAGTAGCCTGGTCTAGTGAGAGGTTCCCTGCCTGTGACAATGGGGTTGGAAATAGTTTGTCCTTAAGGTTCCTTCCAACCCAAACCATTCTGTGATTCGTTCTTTGGTACATGTTTCCCACAGGATACCTTTGCTTATGACCATGCAACATAATCTGTAGCATTGCTTCCATATAGAGTCCATCAGCCCAAGCTCCATGTGTGCAAATCTATCTCATCTTGCCTTCCATATTAGGGTCTGTGAAAATACAGCTCACAGACACCCATAGGTGGCTGTGTATCTCATTACCTGCAGAGGTTTGTGTTAGGTTAAAATGCAGAAATTAATTTCCTAGACATCATTCCAAGCTTGCCTTTGGGTGCAGAAGGATCAGTAAAGTGTGGCTCTGGGAGAGCTTCAATTTGCGGTCTGGTTTGCACCACTGTTGCAAAAGCCACACAGTGTAAGTGGCTGCTTGCTCTGACTGTGTATTAGGCAAAGATAGTTCTGTATAGGAACCTGAGTATAATTAACTGAGCATGTTTTTCATAAACTCTTGGTGGCACAGGTCCATTTGTGGTAAAGAATATGCAAGAATATATCATTACTGTAGTTGTTACATGAGTAAAAAGAATTTTTAAAGGTTTTGCAACTGAAAAAGAGATAGGATTTCGTAAGAAAATTTCCTTTGGGAAAAAACCACCTTTGGAAATAAAGAAGATTTCTCTGTCCTTTTGTCTTTAATATTTACTGGAAATGAATGGCAAGAAATTAATGTGAGGGAGCAAAGATTAGGCAAAGACTCTATCTGACTTACAGCTCTACAACATGGACAAGATGAAATCAGATTCTAAGATAATTTTTAATGTATACTAATTTTAAAAAACCAAAAAACCAAAAATCTTTCTGGAATACTTATTTTCATATACAGGAATAAAATTGATTTATACATTAGGCATTTTTGGAAACTAATTTAGTATTTGTGTATCAGATAGCAATGAATTATGACATTTTGTATTTTCTGAATCTAAAAGTCCCACAGTTTCTTGAACAGCAAACTAAAGCTTGAAGTTGCAAGGTCTTTCTCTGTGTGAGATATTGAGTGGACCTTTCAGTCACAGGAAGTAGAATCATGGTTCCACATCTACTTCTTGCAGGGTCACAAAAATTATCTTGAGTGGTCTTCCCTGGATTAAGTTTGTATTGCTAAATTTAATTGGGTTAAGGACATTGGGCTTAGAGTCCTTGGGCACACATGCAGAAGTCTCTTTGCCACTCAGTAAAGTCTGTGTCCTTCTGAGTAACAAGCACATCAGAAACTTCTCCAAAGAGGAAAGGAGTGAATATCACAGCCCCAGTCTGAGTTATTAAGATTGGATTTTGGCAAAGATTTAGGATTTAGAACTCCAGAAATTTTCACTGATGGCATGCTGTAACACGGAAAAATATTTATCCTTCTGAAATGAGTGTAAATCCCCTAAAGTTAAGGAGGATAAATGCAGTTAGAAAGGCCCCAGATTATCTAGTGGTCTCACACAAATCTGCCATGTGTTGCATAGAAAATGAAGCAGAAAGCAGTTTTCAGCAAACTCTGAATTTCCATATCTGTTATCAGACTAAATATATTTCCTGAGCACTTAGTCTGCTGTACTCATTTGGAAGAGAAGGAAGAATGAGCAAATTATTTGAGATTCCTACTTTCTTCCAAGGCACAACCCAGACCAGGGCTTTTGATCCAATGTTACTGGCTGGGAGGTGGGGAGTGACAAAATGTTTCATAAATAATTGCATTACTCACTGCTATTCCACGTCACATGCAAACTAAAGGAAACTTCTCTGCTCTGTGAGACATAACATTTGAATAAAAATCTAATTTTAACTTTCTGCCTACATCATGAGTGTTACATGATTCTCTAAAAGTCTGTGGTTTATATAAACCCCTAAAAGCCTGTATGTGTTTTTCAGATGTTCCTAGATGTTTCAGAGTTACCTCTTTTCATATGATCACTCTCCAGACTTTGTACCCCTTTCCCTGGAGGGTCTATTGCACACCTCTATTCACCAAACAGGAGCCCTACTTCTCCTCTCATTTGCATCTGTGAGATCTCTGGAAATGTCCCAATCCAGTTGCTTTTAATAGTTTCTTATCTTCCTTTTTCTCTAATCATGAATTCAGCCTCAGATCTTCACAATGTGAACCTAGGCTGGTGCAACCTAAGAGTAATGTTTCACTCAGTTTGTTTATCCATCTTCCAAGCACTAACTTTTAAGATAACTGCCAGAGAAAAATGTGCTCAAGGAAAACCTTGCTCCACTGCTTATTTTGCTATTTTTCATAAATATAGAACTCCAGTAAGAAATACTTTGTCATGGGATCAGAGAACCAAAAATCACTTGGTTATAGCAAAAACAAGAAGACTGGGACTTCACCACTGATACTAAAGGATGTGGAATGGATATTACTGGCCTGGATTCACATGATCACTTTCCTGCTCTTTCTTGAGAATTGCTAGATCAATGTTTATCAGTAAACTGCAGAAGTAAACTAATGTCATGTGTTTACTAACAGAGCATTTATGCGATATCAGTGGAGACATTAACCTTAATCACTGAAAACAAGTATCATTAATGATTTTTTTTCTTCCACTCTGAAATTATTAAGCATTCTTTTTCATTTTTTTATTTTCAGGGGGAATTGGATTGGAGAAGCACCATACAAAGTTGGAGTCCCATGTTCAGCTTGTCCTCCAAGCTATGGAGGTTCTTGCATCGACAATCTTTGTTTCCCAGGAGTAACATCAAACTACTTATACTGGTTTAAATAAGTTAAGGTTAACATTATTTCAAAGAAAACCCACAGATGAGTAACAAGAATCTTGTGTATTGAATTTTGCACATATTATATATAGAGAGATATTGTAATAATACTCTAATATTTTCTTTTTGTATGCTTTTGTATAATTAGCTTTCAAAGTACAGTATAATTTGGTTTTAACACTTTGGGATTTAAGACTCACATTATCCCTTTTAGATTAACATTTTGTTAAAGGAGAGCAAACCCATTTTAATCTTAGCAAGTATAGCTTCCTGAAGATTAGATTATATTAAAAGCACATCAGAAGATAGAATATTACTTCCTTTTAAAAACAATAGCTCTAGAAAGAGAAGGGTCATTGTTTAATACTGTGTTTTAAAAATGGAGTGTGACATGCAAAGGAACAAATTGTCCTCACACTCCCAATGGTTCCTCCTGTTTACACCTGTGCTTCCACCTGCAATGTCAGCGGGACACTGAGCAGAGGAAAACATGTGCAAGAGAAACTGCAGGATATTACCTACCTCATGCACAGCATCAATTAATTTATGGTGTTTCATCAGTTCAGCACATGGCTGCTACTATCACATGTCTGTGTGCAGACAGGAATATTGAAGAGGATGAGGAATCACACAGATAAGATGCAGTGGCTGTTAACCCACGTGCATAAAGTTGCATCTAGATAGAAGGCTACATCACTGTAAAAATATTGGTATAACAGCACAGATTGACTCTACCTTCCTGTATTTCTGAACACAGTCATAGTTCTATAATGGTGCTTAGAAGGAGTATATTTTTTCTTTTACAGGAAGAAATATATTGCTACAAAGCAATATCCGTCAATACATGACATCCATAATGTTTTTTACACTATAGGTTTACCAGTATATATGTTGTCCCTCTGACTGAAATTCAGTTAAGAATCAGGAGAGATCAGACCTAAACACAGGTAGGAAGATCTGTAAATAAAAGACTTTAGGGATCTTTAAAAATTATATAGATTTGTCGCAAAAAATTCAGATTTCTAAAGCAATTGCCACTGTCCATTAAAAAGATATTGCACTGTTTCCTGAAAATATCTGTGTGCATTATTAAAAACCAAATCTGCCAAAAAATTTCTGCCAAAACCTGGATGCCTTATGGGTACCTAATAGAGACATTGAAACCAAAATATTATACAGGTACTTTCCTTGAAAAACAGATTATTAAAATGAAGAGATCAAATGTCTGCCACTGTTACTAGGTCATTGAAATAGCCTTGAATTTTGGCTTTATGTTACAGGGCAGAATATACTCCACTGTAAATATAGGTGTTTAGTCTGCATGCACTGCTACATTTAGACCTCTGAAATTTATGAACTTTGAAAAGCAATACTGAGTAGAGCAAGTGGAACAACAGAGGATCATTTCACTAGAGCTACATATGTATGTATATTTAAGTCACTAATTCAGTCTTTTTAGGGTATCTGAGGATAAGCCTGTATAGTGTATGAAATGCAGCAGCCCCTCTCTATCTGTCTGCACTCTGATCCCTCAGAGAACATCAGCAGCTGATCTATGGCTCTTCAGATATATCTGGTTAGTGACACTTCTGTATCTGACAGGACAAGAACTAGACAGGCCTTTAGATGTGTCTATGTTGTAAAAGGATAACTCTGTAATATTCTACTAACTTTTATCCTAACAGGTACAATATAAATATTTTTCCTTTTGTTTTCGAAGGAGTGTGGACTTGAACAGTACTCAATCGGTCAAATACTTTGGCAGAGTAAAAGCCAGTCCTGTTTTGGGAGCAAAAGACAACCTCTTTGAATTATCTGAGTACACACTGAAGTAAAAGTGAGACAAAACTACTTTGTGGGTGACTAGCCCCTCAGCCAGTACAGTTTTTGACAACGATGCAGGTGAAAAATGCATTTTTGTTCTGCATAAGAAATCTGCTATAGAGGTTAAAGCAGTGCATCTAGCCATTTTCAGTATTTTTATTTTTGAAATACAAATAGGAAGCAGAGCATAAGAAAAAGTTCAGGTTAAGCCATGAAGCCTACAACAGTAGGTCTAACAATAAATGACTATGCACTTTGAAACTTGCTACTTGTATGTTGTATGGTACACTTTCCAAACAGAACTAGACATTGTAAATTAATGTATAATTATGTAATTCAGCTGAAATTATTATCACGGGTATATATGTTATCGTATCTGTTACTTTTTAAGTTGCTACAAATACCTTGATTTTGTGGAATATTTTGTTTTCTGTGAATATAGAAAACTTTGCTTTTAACAAATAGGTATGCAGGTTTTTTCACAACATCCCATAATGGTGCTAGGGATTAACTATTGTAATCACACTGTAATTGACAGCAGCAAAATATGATCTGGAAATAAGCTATTTCATACGAGCAGCTCCTGATAAAACTAGCCACAAGCACTCAAGCATTTGCTGAATATTTTTTCATTTAACATAGAAGATTATAGGTCATCAGACACTTGATTGACACATGAAATTTCCACTTTAAAGTGGAAGGCCTTTCTGTATTGCCTATTTGAATTGCCCCAGTTTCTATTATCTTTTAGCTCTTGGGCCAGGTAATGACAATGCCAGTAAAGCTCTATTTTGATTGCCAGTGCCAGTGCTTCCTGACTGACTACCTGACACCAAGTGCTGATACAAAAAAAACCACTGAACTATCCAGAAGACTTCACATGTCTTTGGCAGCTTTAATACATGCTGAGCTTGATGAGTTTGAGGCCATGCTGAGGCAAGCCATCTCCAGCTGCTATTCTGATGGCCTTGAAGTACTAATTTCTTCTCAGCAGAGGGGTGTGCCTTTAAAGACAAAGAAATTAGCTCAGACTTCTGTTCTAAATATAAAATTGTAAAAGTGTGCACAAGCTAAAATAAGGAAAACATTTTTTGTCAAAATACTGTGAGAGGAATAAGACTAAAATTATATAATGAAATTTATATAATTAATTATTGAGTGCAGCTGTTTATAATAATATCTGCTTGTGACTTTTTGCCTCATTTAAACATTTAAGGTGATGGGTAGCCATTGATACCTTTTGGTGCTAACCTCTGTGTTCTGGTGCTTAAGTTACAGATTGTGTTTTGTGGAAATATTACCATATACACTCCAGTGTTTGTGAGATCTTTTTCAGCTAAACATATAAATTGCCACTAGGTCAGATTTGCTTTCTGAGTTCCTTTTTATGGTTGTTTCAGGCTCTAATAAGAGTTTTATGTGCACCAGAGAGGAAAATGTATTCCAGTTCAAAACCAAAACAAACAGTACCCTCCCCTCCTCACAACAGGCAAGTGCCTGTGGAACAAATTACAGGGAGAGTAAGACCTCCCAGAGTCATGACTTCAGATTGATGCTGAGCAAGTTTTAGTGATTCCAGATCATCTCTCTGAAAAATAAATGACTTCAGAAAATTTGGGTTTGACCTTGCACACTTATCCTTGGTATCTATTCTTTGAGATCAGTTTGTTTTTTTTTTTTTCCCTCTGAATTTGAGGTGAGTTTGATCAAGTCTTAGTGAAAACCGGAGGAATTTTAACATAACTTCTGCAGGAATGAAAAATTGGATTCCATGAGAGCTTTGTGAACAGTAAAATTAGACTTTGTATGCCATCCCCCTTTGAAAGAGAAAGCCTCCCAGAGCAAAAGTACTGCGACTGCACGGAAAGAAATATATCTGTGTCTATATCCATATCTGTAGGTAGGTGGATAGGTGTATGATAGGTGATAGATAAATATGTTTATACATTCTCCCTGAGGATCGGGTTGCAAGCATGGATGCCCTCTTGTGGTTAAGAATGCCACTACTCATTACATAGGAATCCAAGAGGTTCTTGGATTTTTTGAAAACAAATGCAAATCTAAAGATTTCGGCCTTGATTTTAGAGACAGATGACTTTGTTTCCTTTGAGAAAAGAGGTGCAATGCACAACTCTTCCATTGCTTAGTTTTACAGGATTTGTAAGTACAGAACTCAATTACAGTTTTATTAGCTGGTGACTACCTAACATACAGAGTTTTATGAATATGAGGTAAAGCAGAGTTATTCAGATGTCAGAAGAATTTTTAGAAGGGTTAAGTCAGATATAGTTCTTAAAAACCAGGGTGTGGGAAGCCTCATTACTCAGATACTAAATTACGATGATCCCTAATAAAATCTTAAAGACCTGAATTACTGTTGCAATCTGCCCATTATTGGTAAGTTTTCAAGAAAAGACTCTTACTTTCCTACTCTAGGATGAGATGATCTTGGAATCCAAGCACACAAAATTTTTGTAGTGCTTTTTAAAACTAGCAGAATTTAAAATTTGTATGCTCTAGTTCTCAGATGATACCTAATTGGTCTGATGATCTCAAAGTGCACAAACCTTTTTGTTTAAATTTGCAAGAAAAATGCTGAAATTCTATCAATAGAAGCCTGAAATAGCAATAACCTTCTCAAACTGCTTTCTTTCAATAGAAAATAGTTGGAAAAAATTAAGAAAAAATAATTGCCCATCTGACTGATTCAACAGATGGGCAACAACCTATCTGGTTAATTCAAGAAATGATAAAATAAATTGATTACTATTGGTAATTTCAATACTTTCTTCCTGCTTAGCTTTCATTTCCCAGCTTACCCTCAGGGTAGAGTTATTTTCTGTTATAAAAGAATTACAGGGCAATACATTTTTAAATTCACACTAGTCAGTGGAGCAGATAGAAAGTTTTGATTGTAATCCACATTCTGTAGAGTTCCCCTGAGTGTAATCTGTGAGAAATCCAGACTGAAATGGTTGCAATTCATTAGCTCCTGCCAAAAGACAAAATTCAGAGTGGAAGAATAGTTTGGCATGTTATCATTGAGTAATAAGATTGTAAATTCTTCAGAATCCCTCGTACTGAAAGTGCATATAAATTATACTTAGGGTTATGTTGGCCAGCAGGAAAGAGAGGGAATATCTCTCAGGTTATATGTTTAGCTCACAACAGCAATTGTCATTCAAATCACTGGCTGTTCATCATGCTGCTAACTCTCTACAGCTTCAATAGACCATCCTGTAAGTCAGGAAGTATCTTAGATGTGATGTTTAAAGTAATAAAATTCTTCCTTAAGAGTGAATGGTAATGTTGAAATCAATAGCTCTTAGGAGTTAAACAGCTTTGTTTCATGTAGAGTGTTCTAATGTAATTAAAATGGTGCTTAAAGGCAGGGTTCATTTAAGAAGCAAACCATCTACAGATGCTTTTTTCCATATGCAACAAGGAAAGATTTTTCTGAGGCTTAAAGATGCTGGGGATTAGAAAATAAGTATATTTCTGTGCATTTTTTATCTGAACCCATGTGAAAAAAATGTTCATTGCTTATAGAGTGAAATGCTCTTCCCCCTCCTCCCCCCCCCCCCCCCCCGTCCCCCCCATTATATATTTTCATTTTTTCTTGTTCAGGTTTTTTTGATAATTGTGTGGGTGGGGTTGTATCTGTTTTTTTGGAGAAAAAAGCTTGTTGTCTAACAGGTGTTGCAGTGAACTTACCAATGTATCATTTCTTTTGTGTTGTCATATGACATTATATATATATATATATGTATGTTATACCTGAGATATAAATTTGTATCCCTGTTTCAACTTCTAATGCTATGAAACTGTACACAATTTTGATCTATTTGTAACATCTATGCATTTAAATAAATAAGTAAAATTATCAATATTTACAATTGACGTTCTTTTGAGACGTCTCTTGTGGTTTCCTTTTTCCATTTTTTCCCTGAAGAAGACAAGTTTTCAGGGAGACAGTAAAGGACAGATCTAAACTGAATTTTAATTCCATTTTAATATATTTATACAAGTGCATATGCTTTACACCAGTGCTCCATTATGTACTTGAAATCTCTTGATGTATCCACCCATATAGATAGGAGCCTGTCTTTTGGTGTTGAGAGATGGAATTCTTCATCAGAATTAGTGTTCAGGGTATGTTTTCTTATGTGCCTCTGGCCAAGAAGAAAAATCTGAACTGTGACCAAAGGAGATATCCACAGAAAATTGCAGAGGAATGATGGTCAATTGGCCAGGTTTTTTTTTCCATGGAAGGAACCATGCTACAGTCAGAAAAAGAGTAGTTCTTTGTTCCTGAATGATTATTCTTCCTCCCAAGCTGTAAAAACCACATTTGAAAACAAAACCCAGATATTTTTAAATGAAAAGGAGCCTGTGTCATGAGGACAAGGGGGAACAGAGGGAGGAAGAAAAGCCATTTTTAAAATGCTTAGACTTACCATCACAAAAGCTATTAAAATCCAGTGTGTAAATTCTTGGTTCTTTTTCCTTCATCCATCACAAGCTGGGCACAAAAAAACCTACTTTTCTTAAAATTCAGCATGACACAAAGTTATTTTATGTATCATTTAGACATTCAGCCAGAAGGACACAATCTTACAGAATATAGGAAAAAATACAAGGAAGAGCAGATTCTTTCAGAATGCCACCATGCATTTTCCCTAGCATAGTATTTTTTTGGTGTAATGACATTTTGTGATTTTAATCACACCTGTTTCTGATGTAGAAATTTAAAGAAATTAGGTATTAATATTATGAACATCTGAATAAATACAGCACAAGCTGTTGGCAGTCTCTGGGCAATTGTAATGGGATTATGTCAAATGTCAGTATCTGAGCAACAATATTCAGTGTTGTTGCTAGTCTCTCCCTCATCTGAGCCCAGTATTGTTTGGACCATGGCAAATAGAATGCAACTTTGCCTAATTTCTTATTTCTCAACAGACTTGTTTCTTTTTCTTTCTTTCTACCTTGCTTCTCTTCCTTTCTCATGATCTATGAATTGGTCTGCAGTTTTTGGAAAGACAATGCTATCTATGACACATCTGAAGTATTTTTTATTTTCTCTGTGTTGCCCTTTTATCTGGATCTAAGAATGAAACAGAACTGATAATTGAAGTTGTCTACTTAGTGCCATGTCTCAGTCTTCCAATTTTCTAATAATGGTTTCCATCTGGTCTTCACACTTTGGTTTTTCTCCAAGAGGAATCAAAACATAGAGAAGCTGATGTGTAGGTAGCTCACACACCAATATGGAGAGTAGATGAAGATGGAGTGTGAGAGTTTGAAAGCAGTTATGGAACCCACAGTTCAGATGTAATGAGGTGCTCTAAGCTGTGATTATAGCAGGAAAAATTACATCACTCTTACCAGGAGGGATCAAGTCCACATTTCATTGTGGTGCCATGATTTGGTGTACCTTTATGTCATTGCACAATGGTTATGGCTAGGCTGAGAACCTCTTATGTAAACTAGGAAATTGTGTTTTCCTTGTTTTTTTGATAGTGTCTACCATGCCAACAGAGTATATGTCCATAGGGTAATAACCAGATATATCTGTATATCTGCAGAGAGTGAATGTATCATCATAGCCATTTACAACCTACTCATGCAATCATGCAGTGCCTGAGAGCCCAGTTAAAACAAGTTTTGCCTTAATCTTTAATTCTCCAAATCTGCAGTGACTTTGACATCAGAGATGTTAATTTACTCTAATTTGGTGCTTTTTTTTCTTTTAGGGTTTTTTTATTGTTGGGTTTTGCTTTGTTTTGTTTTCAAATTAGTAACAATAATCTAAAAATTATTTCTTCATCCAGATGAGATTTTCCTGTGTCTTTAACATAATACCTTGTGTTTCACTGGGGGTCCATTGTAGTAGTTGCATTCCTTACACATATGGCAGGCCTTCACAGAAACATAATGAAAACATGTCATGGAAAACAACATAAAGAGTTCTTAACAGATATTAGCAATTGAGAGTGAATTTTCTTAACCTGGCAGTTCTTATGGGTTTTTTTTATTTTCTGTGGGATTTCATCCTAAGCTCTAGCTCCATCATTTTGAATCCTCTTTTCATCTGAGGCAGGACAGGTTTATTTGATTTTGTCTGTGAAATCTAGTGCTGGAATTGCTCCACTGCACTTTTTTGTTAAAAAAGTTTGAAAATATATCTGTAAGCCTAAAACTCTCTGAGGTTTTGGCCAATTTGCAGTCCATACATCTGCAGCTACAACCTTGGAGTGCTGTTTTACAGCATTTTGTAGACATTGGCAACACTGAGGTGATGGTATATTCAGCCAACAAGGACCTTAAATAATGATGGGAGATTTTTTCCACCCAGGAAACATCCAGAGTCTCCTCTTTAACTGAATGTGTTGAAATCCACTTTCATTGGCAGCCATGGAAATTGAGTCTATACCTGATCATACTGTTGTACTAGAACATAGAACAGAACACAGAGAGGTATATGCTAATATACATGTGGAAGGTGTATAAATAATTTGTCTTATTTAAGTAGCATTCCATGTTCTGTAAACTTTTAATATCTCTACGTCTGTTTAGTCACTGTAGGACCCTTAGCTGGCTGCTTTAAGTTGGATTCTATCTTTCCCCATTTTTTCTGCATCATTCTTCAAAGAGTCTAGGTATTTCCTCCTTGTTTGGATCAGATGTGTTGATAAATTCTTAATACTTACTGTGAGTTACCTGCAGATCTTGTCATGTAAACTTCTCCCCATATTTGCTATTTTCATTACCCAGAGGTATTTTTTACTTGTTTAGCTTTACCCAAAATCTCCCATTTTCCTAAGCTTTTCCCAGAGCTGCATGACTTTGTAGTCATTCTCATCTCATTCTCCTCCCAGTAGAAAGTGTACTGTTTAGTGTGCTGTATACCACCAGCATTTTCTATTTTCCAATGAAAAATGTATGTGCCAAACATAACTACGATGGCAGGCTGCAAAAAAACAATGTCTTCCTATGGGTGTGTTGGATGTGCACAGACATGTGGGGTTTTTTCCAAAGGGCAGTGCCAGAATCCTGCTGATATATCAGACATGGAAAAATGTTTGTCATTAGCCATCTCCTGAAGGATTTTTTCCCCTCACAGGTAGTGGAAAATATTCCTCTTCTACATTTCTGTTTGATTATTTTGGGTATGTCCAAAAGCAAAATAAGCACACTGGTTTTAAGTGAGTATATCTGTTTTATCCATTATTCTAACCCCCGTGTAGTCACCTGGAGCTGTATACCAAGATCTAATGCCTGGGAACAGTATATATCAGTGAGCTGAAGGTAAGTAATGCTCCAAGGGTGGCTCAGGAACAGAAGATGTCTTTGGCAGCCCTACAATACTTTTATTTACTTGCTAAACAAGTCTACATGGGCCCCCGAGCAGGACTTCATGATGATATTGTGACATTTCCATCTCCAGAGTCTGTTTCACTGCCTTCAATAAGCATGAAACCATCATATTGAAGTAGCCTTGTTTATATGACAAAGCTCCAGCTAGAGGTCTAAATGTAATTCCTATGGCAACTCAGGAGTCACAGATGGGAGGCATTTGTTTTATTGCTGGGACAGCCTGACTGGAGAATGAACAGCAGTGAAAGATCTTCCCCTCTTGAAAGTGTCAAATTCCTTCCTTACCTGCTTGGCTTCTTTTCTTTCTAAAGCATAAACTTTCTTCATAAGACTGCTAGGATGACATACTTCTGAAGAAAAATAAAGACACTCTTTACTCAGCTTTTATTGACGTTTCTATAATAGCCATCATTTAGTCACCCAGGCATGTAGTTCCTCTAATTTTTTGTGGGAATAAACTCAACCTGAATATCCACTCATCTTCTATTACTTGTAGGTCCTCTGAAAAAAATGTGAGTAATGTTTCAGGAAAAAAGGAAGCTAAATTTTTAAAATGATCTTTCCTTCTACTTCTATACATTTTTTCTCTTTCCATTACAAAAAAAAAAAAAAATATATATTTTAACTATGGTCTGCAATCATTAATATATGCATATATTTTCAATTTAGTTGGCTCTTTTCAGCTTTTTATTCCTCCATAATAGGCATTTTCATTTCTTTTTGCCACTCTCTTCCTCGGGTGTTTTCCAGAGGTTTATGGTGGCCAATACATCATGTTATCTGATTTTTTTCTCTTTTTCTTCTCCTAAGCTAGTATCCTAGTATCTGTGGATGCTAATAACTTTTTCACAGAGGCCCATGTAGTGATACCTTCTAAGGAACTCTCCTCTGAAATAATGCCATTTATTGGCATTATTCTAAGCATAATTTATATGCATGTACTGCTGTAGATATACAACTATGGACACAAACATCAATCTTTTGAAGCCAAGAGTCACAGGATAGGCAAGGTTGGGAGAGACCACATTGAGTCATCTGGTCTGACCTTCCTGTTCTAGCACAATCATCCTAGAGCACATGGCACAGGATTGTGTCCAGATGGTTCTTGAATATCTCCGGTGAGGGAGACCCTACAGCCATCCAGGAAAGCAGAGCTCCGTTTTACCTAACAGTGACATGGGAAGACAAACACCATCACTCCCAACACCTGTGCTTCCTCTTTCTACTCCCACTAATAAATGCTCAGCACAACACCAAACAGTAAAGAATATCCCTTTGGTCAGTTGTGGTCAGCTGTGCCGGCTGTGTTCCTTTCCAACTCCTTGTGCACCCCCAGCTTCTTGCTGGAGCAGTGGGGTGAGAACTGGAGAAAGCCTTGATGCTGATCAATAATAAAAACAACCATATGTAATCGGCCCTGTTTCCAGCACAAATCCAAAACATAGCCCCATACCAGCTACTATGAAGAAATGAATTCTATCCCAGCCAAAACCAGCACACAAACCATTT